ACTTACAAGATAGAGGCGCTCGACGTTCGACGTTCACGTTTGAGAGATAAAAACTTCGGCCGCAACCTCTCTAATTTATATGATTTCTATAACTATTTATATAATTTTTAGTGTCTTGATGTAATTACGGATGCTCTTCCGAATCTATTTTAACTCAAAATCGATATTACTTTCAATAACTGAATTTTAAAATAATAAATCAATAGATTTCTCTGGCATGTTTTTAAAGTCAGGAGATTTATTAATAGAAATTTCAACTTTACTATAATCAAATAGTAAGTGAATAAAGATTATATAATAAATTTTAGGTTTATCAAAAACATGTCTTTTTTGGATGTGGCTCGTATAGTACGATATTCGCCTCAAGGGACACTGAAATTTTCTTTAGTCTCTTACGTCTATCGGGCTTCGGAGTCTTCTAATAAAAACTTGGATATAATCCATGGGAGTAAAGATGGAAAAGTGTATTAGTTAGAGATGTCATCTTCTAGAGATTGGCTATAACTAAAACCCATCTGTAGACGTGGAAGGATAAGACTATATCTTATTATATAACAATTTCACGTTGTACAGATGATCTTTATCCACTGAAATCTTTTATTTTGAAAGATTTAATAACTTTTAAGAAACGATTATGGATATTATTTTATTTAAAAGAATATAATATAGCAGTTTTAAATATGTTTTTGGAATTATGATATATATTATAAATACAAAATATTAACTGAAAATTTGATTAAAATTGATCCATTTTATTAACATTATCCATGCGATCAAATTATTAATATAGGATTCATTTCTTAGTGTAATGTAATATTAAAATATGTTAATAATATTGATAAGCATTTCTAATTACATGATATAGTGTAATTAAAAACATTTATACAAGGTAATACACTTTTTTTTTAAATTTTTTTCTTAAAACTGTCATTTGATATATTGTATTCAAGGATAATAGATTTATATATTATATTACTTCTTTTCTTTCTCGCATCCAACTACAGTCGATCTTCTAATAACTGTTATCTCTAAATACAGGCTACTTTTTCAGGAATTTTTTTGGCAAAGATGCATATAAAATAACCTTCAAATAAAAGTCACTTCCGAATAACGGCCATTTTTTATGTTCTTGTCACTATCTGTTGTTCAGAGGTTTGACTATAATTACGTGGTCTGTCTGAAAAACTCCAGCCATTGTTGATGTAAAGAGAATGGTTTGCGCGACATCATTGTAACCTGACAGCCAAGAAAAATGGACTGACTGACAGTGCTAGAAGTACAAGCGAATCAAGGAATTCCAATGTTTCTTGTATTTTCTTTAATAAACGTCTTTATTTTTCGTATTACATTGCTAGTACTTTCCGGAAAGATCATTTCTCTAATTGATTAAGTAAATTCGTCAGGCATGATCTTGAAAACCTTAACTATTTCTTAGAAATACAAAGAGATTTCTTTATTGGATTTCTTATGTCCTATTAATCTTACTACTGAAAACATTTTTGAATATGATTAATATAAGATTAAATCAGTTCCTTAGATTAACTTTTTCAAGATTTTATGATATTTATTTTATATTAATTGATTATTATAGTCAAAGCTAAGTTAAACGAAGAAAACAATTTTTTTGTGTTTACATGTTTATAGTATATATGTTACTGTGAAAGACCGAAATTAGAGAATGTCGACATTCTCCGATGAATGTCGACACATACAAAATACGTAGGTGAAAGTCCGAATATTTGGTTATACAGTATTATTATACATTCGAACAATCGCCGGTGTATGTCGACAAGCACAGATAAGCCTTGGTGGAGGTCGAAACGACACCCGAGAAGCCGATGTCGACAGAGAGGCGACAGTCTATCGCCCAATACCTTGTGGATAGCAGGAGGTAGGACACGGTCGTACCTCTTTTTCCGGCAAAGATTTGGTGGAAACTGCTCACTTTGTCACTGGATGGCGTTTTTGTTCTTTTGATCCTGTGAGGTGGGGATCGGTTTGTCAGGTCGAGTGGCGGAGGATGAGAGGGGTCGTCGGTAATGCGTCGGCGATATCCGAATAAAAGACACCATTAACAAATCAGTTCGTAATCACGTAATAACGTAATCAGTTCGTAATTTGTAAAGTAAAGTTACTTTCCATAGATGAGATTTCTTCTCAAGAAATACCGCTGAGAGAAGCAGCTGCAGCTAATTCGAAAAGTGGAGGGCAAGGCTATACACGCTGTCATTGCAAAAAAAGTGTTCCACGAATAAATGCAGTTGTAAAAGCAAGAGACTCTTGTTCAATTCAAAGTGCCATAACAGTTTAAGTTGTTGCAATAAATAAGATTGTATAACGTTAATTATATAATTTATGTGTAAGTTTATTATTGTATTATTTTCTTTAATGATTTAGAATGTACTGTTCGTTTTAGGTTCAACAGTTTATTTACATGTGATGTTACTTAAGCTTTCTCCTATTTTGATATATTAAAAAGTTGCATTTTTGTCTTGACGTAATAAAAATATTTTTATTCAACATTCACTATCAGTGTATGATGAATGTCGACATTTGCCGGTGTAAGTGGGAAATAATGATATTTAGCAAATATTTCGTACATACACAAAACGACTGTGTGAATGCTGACATTCACCGGAGAATGTTGACATTCGCCAGATATCGGTCATTCACAGTAATATATATACTACATACATATACAGTATAGTGCGATTGGTAAGTCGCTCCGTAGTGTAAGCTTGTATAGGCCTATAAGCTTAACGCAAATAAACGATTTTCTCCATTTAAGTTTTTTATTTTTATTAATTGAGTAATTAAATATATTGTTTCTTCTTATTACTTGGTTCGATTTTCCATTAAAATAAGCGTGAATATAATATAATTCGAATAACAACTTTAAATTGAAGGTATGAAATGAACACAAGTAACAATGAATCGTTTATTATCACAATAAATAATTCATAAGTTAAAGTTTAGCTAATAGTATTTTTCCTTAAATTTCTTTTTTCTACATCTTAGATTTTTAAATTTAATTGGTATATATATATATATTAGTTCAAGCATTTTGTTCTTCAAAAATCTATATAAGGTATAAGTGCTAAAGATAAACTGAAAAGGAAGAGGAAGCTTTCTATCGGTTACATTTAAGGAAAATGAGAAGGCGAGTTTTCCTGTAAATCGAGATTCATTACAAATTTTTACGTTTAAACAATGTCTCTATGACTCAATTCTATTAAATGTGCACATATTTGCATCAAATGACTCACTCAACTCTTTTGAATTGTTATAATAGGATGTTAACTCTTAATCATTTATATAAAAATTAAGATAAAAACTTATATATTGGCATGTTTATTATGCAAAGTTTATTATAAAGAATTATTTTTATTTTTATACGTTTGATAAATGTATTCAACGTTGCTTAGATACAATGTTCAAAAAGAAAAATATCTATTATGAGATTAAATTGTTCGATTCAACATTATAAATACACACTTTATAAAATAAATTTCATAGTTGAATTTAATTAAAGTATATATATAATATAGACCTATATATTAAAAATATTTGGAATTATTCTCTATTTAATTAATATAGTTTTTTTAAATTAATTCTCTATTTTGATACAGTAATACAAAATGAATCTTTATTTTCTAAGTAAATAGCTTATTTTAAATAGCAAAGATTTAGTTGACTATCTTAAATCCATTGTGAAATTGTAAATCGTTGATTAAATGTGATTTATAACATTAATTAATAACAAAACTGAAAGTTTCAACTTTGATTTATGATAAAAGTTTTCACAATAGGTTAATAAAAATTTCACTTCACTTAAAATGATACTGTTTGAAATTATTTTTGTTATTAAATCTTAATTTATTAGATTATTCTTGCTCATTTTTCTAATCTATTCATCTTAAGAGAAGAATATTTAAATTAATAAATACTGTCAATTTCGTTCAAGAAATATTGAGATTTACTGAAAAGTATAGCAATTTTTCCAAGAATTAACTGTGAAAACTATGATATACTCAAAAGTATAGATTTTATTAATGCGAGGTATCAACACATTCAAAGCTATACACTGATCATACTTTTATCTATAACAGGTTGATCTGACTTACAATGGAATCGACCAATATGAACAATGATGAACGATGCCTTGATCAATATTATCCATAAGAGGAAATTCGAATTTTCAATATAATTTTTAGAAATTCGATATTCACTTCCAAACTCAAATTCAAGAAATGATCCATTTCAACATAAAACTTAATAAATTAAATGATATATTAGAATTAATAAATAATGAACTTTTATAATATTAAAAACATTATACTGTATTATCTATCATATTGCTTTTTAACTGACTGAAAGCAATATTTCCTGAAAATCAAACCTAAATATATAAATTTTTAAGGGTTTTGACGGATAGTAATTTATTCCCATAGTTTCATATTAAATGTACTGTACTAATTAATTTAATAATGCTTTTATAATTTTAAGTTTCAAACGCTTTTTGAATGTAAAAATAGCTGGAAAATTAGCAATTTTGTCTTATTCTTTCCTTGTTTCTGAAGTCCCGTAAAGAAAGAAAAAAAAACCTAAGTTTTCTATACTTTAATGAAAATTCCAAACTAATTATAATAATAAGAAAGAAGGAACCGATTAAATGACACAGTACAAATTAAACAAAAATACTTGAAATTCTTTATTTTCAATTCTCTGAGACAATTTATAAATATATTATTAACATTTATAACGTTAAAACATTTTTAAAAGAAATGAAATATATTAATAATCATTATTAAATATAAATTTAGGACTGCAAAATGCCCGTAATATCAATAACAAACGTTAACAATTATATTACTGTATGAATAACATCATTTATAAATCAATTTGTATGTCTTTAAATACATTTCCATAAATTAAATCAAATTATTATATATTATATTTAAAACATTCAAGTGAAAATTTTACATTTATATGTATTTTTCCTTCGCTTCTTCATTTACTGTAATCAGAAAAATTAATGTGTTAAGCATTATATATACAAAACATAAATTAATTTATCATTTATACAATATATTATTTTTATTTCTTTAAAGAATTAAATTGACATACCATACATTTGGATACAGGAACACAATCACCAAAATATGAAGCGTATCCTTCTTTACAAAAACAAATAGGCAAAATAGTTTGCGGATAATTATAAGTTCTTGTGGTTCCGGGTCCCGAACACATCGTAATTTTCCATTTCAGGTAAAGTTCCGTATTCGGTTTTTTACATATACCTAATTTATAATTAAAAATATACTTATTAAAGCGTACTTTATTTACTTTATATATAAAACCTATAAATATAGAGTACGTACGTTTGCTACAATCTTCAATTGGAAAACATTTATCAGTTGTATCATCTCTTACAAATCCTGATTTGCAAAAACACCCGGAATACATTTCTTCATCGTAACATGGTCGAGAAAAAAGTTTATCGCAAGTAGATTCACAACTTTCGTTACGATATTCTTCATTTTGTAAACACTTAGTAATTGAAAATCTATTAACTACAGTAATAATAACAGTTTTCTATTACTTTAAACTATTTATAAATAATATTAATAAAATAAATAACTTACGTTTGACTTCATTTATTTGTAAAAAAATTACAAATACTACAAAATTGATCAGTATTATTTTAAAATTATCCATGTATTGTGCAATTATTTCCTGTAAAAAAAAAAATTATTATATATCTGGAATATCTTTAGTAAATTTTCTTAGAAATGGAAAATGTGTGTTTACGAATCAAGCAAGAAAAGTTCTTTAATAAATTTGAATACAATATACAGTAAACTGGACGATTAAATTTGAGAACAAGCGTATTGAGTTTAAAGTGTATAGGTTTGTTTCACCTAACTTTATACATTCCGGAAGTTGGTATTTATCTGACGCATCATAAATTGACGTATTTTTTTCAAAATAATATGGAATGAAACATTTCTTTATAATAAGAATTATAAATATAAATATTTTATGAAACTTACTATAAAAAATTCTTACAGGTTACATAATTTTTAATTTAATTTCTAATATTGAACAAGTTATATCCGAATTTTTTGTTATATTTTTGATATACAGTAATACTGTACTTCGGTTTTCGTCGATATGCCCACACGACCTCGCTGTTAATTTTGCGAAAACAAAGGGCGACCCACACGTTTTCCTGCTCAGAGTGGCGTTATTTCTCGTTGTGTGAGCATTATTAATTACCCCGTTCCTCCAGCCAAACAATTCCATTGCTTTCCTTTCCTTTTTTGCTCCATCATAGGACCAAAACAAAAATTTCAGAGCCAGCAGCCTTTCGAAGAAGAAGGCTAGAAACCATTGAAAAATACGAGAGCGATATTAAGATTGCTGAAATTGGCCGCTTTTACATTCATTTTATATTAATTTCTTATTGTTTTTAGTATTGAACACTATATAAAATGTGTTTTTGTATTTTGGAGTGTCTAGAACGAATTAATTGGATTTACATTGATTCATATGGAAATAATTGCCTCGGTTTTCGTTCGTCGGTTTCGGATTTCGCCGATTGTTTTCGGACGGATTATCGACGAAAACCGAGGTATCACTGTAATCCGATATAATCCGATACTTTTGTTTATTAATTTGGTATTTTTTGTTATTAATTTGATATTTTTGTTTGTGTTTTGTTTTGTTGTTTGATATTTATAAAAAGCGTTAAAATTTTCAAAAAATTTGCGTAAAAATGAATATTAAAACATGTAAATACTCAAAATGAGAGAAAAAGTACTTATTTTCGTCAAATAATTTAAGCATTGACAATTCTTCAGATCAATAACCATTATCTCCAGATATACTTAAAGTTAAGCACATTATCATTGTGAATTACTATAATTTATAAATATATAGGCCTATGTACTGTATATATATGTTTATTATACAACGTATTGTAATATACAATTGCGTACAAAATTAAACTTAACTATAAAAAGCCACGATGCAAATTTCTTGTACAGTACTGTAGCTGTTTCTGTAAGGCCACAACGCCTTCTGTTCGTTTATCCGTTCATTGAGTCTAATTTACATATACACTCATTAACAAAAAGTTATGCACCAAGGAGGCATTGGAAGCGAATGATGAAACTTTATTTGTATGAAAGTAATGACGATTCTAATAAACGATTACAATATCATAGTAAATGGTCAAAAATATCCTTGGAACAGAGGCAATATATAATTCAAAGAAACCTTTAGTAGAACCTCCTCTTTCCTGTATGCATACGGCGATACATTCGGGTATGTATTCTTACATGGTTGAAGCTGGTATTCCATCTGGTCCTACAAATACTTGTTTGTTTGTTTGTATACGGCAACGCAACTCGAGGACGACCTGCCTAGGGAATATTTCTCGGGAGAACGCTCTACGGGAAATTGTCCCCTTTATAGGTGTTACAATTGTGAAGAAAAACGAAAACGTCACGTGACCAGCTCGTTAGCGAGGAAAAACTCACGACCAGCATTTAGTGAATTTATCCACTCGGCCACCGGTGGATATCATAAATGCTCGATGGGTGACAAATCTAGAGGCCTAGCAGATGAACGAAGTGTGACAACATTACTAAGACATTCGTGGGAAACGCTCGTTTTTACGCTAGTGGAATCTCGGCCTAACTGTGTGCAGGCGAGCATTACCTTGCTGTCGTGAAAGGCAACTCCCGAGAGTGCACGATTTTCTGAACGTACTTCTGTGCCATCAACAGTTCTAGAGGTGACTACTGTCATAAGAGATGACTCTCTAGACCAGCAACCACCGATGGAGACAGTGTGCCGCTCAACAATAAAAGCGGGATTGAGATGATTACTTTCAAACCAGGCATATGGGCAGGGAAGGAGCTCATGGGACTAAAGTCCCCTACAAATTTCGGTAGAAGCCTGTTGCCAGTAGCAAAACGACAGACAGGAGGCCGAGACGTTTAAAGTGTCAGCCATGATCACCGCCGAATAAAATTCAAAAAATAAGTCCCCGAAAGAAAATTCTAGTTATGAGCCTGCTACACACTATAACAGCATTTGTCGGTCGTTTGTTTCAAAACAGAATCGGGATTCGTTGCTAAAAACGACACGTTGCAAGTCCATCCCATATCAGTTCATGCTTCTCTCTCACAACACCATTGAAAACAAAGCCGACGAAATTGAGATGCTAATACCAAGACGCGTATCGGTCGGTCTCCATGTATACATATTTGCCTTTTCTGGTCGCTTGCCAATGGTACAGACATAAACAGAGTTCTGTAGCGAGGCTTCCACCTATCTCTAGATAGTGGACAGACACCGTTACTGTTTGTGCTGGTCCCACGATCAGATAATCATTCTTTAGGATAGTCTGTCTGGGACATTTAAACGTACTGTACGTGTCTCACTGTCCCCAACACCTCTTCACAGTCAGATGAGAACGTTCCAAATGGCAGTAATTTGGCGAAACGACCATCGTGTTTTTCTCAACCCAAGTGTGTAGTCTTTGTCAAACTTTGTCAGCTGTGAGTAATGTCTTTGACTGCCTCGTACAGATATGTCTGGTGTTCGAAGACTTCCAAACAACAGATACTGTACACTGAAAATTCTGAACAGGTTGAGCCTCTATAGGTCTCTAAAAATACACCTAAGTAATGATATATAGGATACAAGAGTAGTGCTGGAAGGACTCCAGAGGCATTACTTGGCGTGCAATCGGATCACAACTACTGTATAATCATTTACATACCTGTCTAAGACATAGTTTTAGGCCAAGTTTTGCAGTAATCGGGCAATTCTATATACTATAGATGCACAACTTTTTGTCAACGAATGTAATAAACTGGCTTGGTTTTAGGACCGGTTGCCTGACTAACACCAACTCTTCTCGTTTTTAAGTCGAGATTGGAACTGTCCATGGCAAAGTTTTCTATATATAATTTAAATTATTGTTTAAAAAATAAAAATAATTTTACACGAAAAAATATATTTATTATCCTATTTTATCATACTTGAGGCAGGCTCACAGATAAATAACGCGTGGCGATATTAGACAGATTATCTAACTAGTAGTAACAGCATGCGTTTCTATGTCTTTAGCTATGTGTTTCTATGCGTTTCATTGTGTCACTAGTTGGCACAATGAAATATGCGTGGATTTGGATTCATGGGGAAAGCAATCCAACACATGGGCGCTCAGCTAAAGGGGAGTGCTTCCCGGGAGGCTTTCTATGGGAAACTAGTTCCTGTTAGGTGTTAGATACGTAAAGAAAACGCGAAAAACTCGACGCGGCCAATCCTTTGATCAGACCCGAATCCATGACCAACTACCAGTGTTTAATGATTTTATCCACTTGGTCAGGATTATGCATAAGTTAACATAGTGTCGGGACAATTCCGTTGTGCTCCGTTTCCAATGTACACTTAACTATAATGAGCATTGCCAGATGGCTAAGGTTGTGAGACGTCAACCTATTTCTAGGAGGAACCCGAAATCAAATCCGGGAGAGCAACTTCCCAGGAATTTTTACGGGCGGTTTGTCCTGGATAAATCAGATCTCGTACCTTACCATTCGGTCACTCTTATTGTGGACTTAGCCGATACTATTGATATGGTGAAAAAACTGTCTCTGTGCCCAGAGAGTAAAAAAAACGAAAAAGAGTTTCCAACATAAACAAACACCGTATTTTTCGTGTTATTTCTGTGCCGAAATCGGCTTATTTATGAAAAGATTCAGCTTAAAAGCAGAAGAAATCAACCCCGTTAAAGATTTATACTCACATAAAGGCAGGTCCACACATTTGGTATTTGCCGAATGCCAAATGTTTGCCTTTTGCCAAAGTATTCACCGAAGTGTTTGTCACTCGGCGAGCAGACACGTACACACATACGATTATTTGCCGAGCATCGGTTCGTTGCAGAAATGACGAAAGTTCGTTCGAGATCTAGAAAATGAACAATTCTCAAACAGTAATTTATGCTGCTATTTTTACAGTTATGAATATTTCATATTTATTAATGAAAAACAAGCTGAAAAGTTGTCAAGAATAAAAAATTTCAGGTATACAACGAGATTTAACATCAAAAGATTTCTAATGATTATAAATGTTTTTGTCGGTAATCCAACTGGAGCCAATAATTTACATAAAAAGTTGGATTTTGATAAGTCGTGATATTTATAGCCAACACTTTTCATCATTCTTCTGTATATAACAAATAAAAATAAAAATAAAAATGTAAAATTATATATACTGTAAACATATAGTCCTGCTATTCCGTGAGTTTTATTTGTGTTACAAGTAGTAGTGTCCGTTAAATAAAAGAAGTTTAAAACACGTTTTCCTTATTAACTATAAAATTTATTTCCTATTGTTAATTTTAAAGCTTTTCTAATCCACATAATATTTACGCGAAACTTTCGAGTTAATCAAAAACGTTAACAAATATTTAAATACAACTAGAAGCAACGAGCTTACTATGTTTCTTCCACGCTCAAGATGGCGACTTCCGTCTGCGTGTGCATATATCGGCTTCACTTAATTACAGGGGTTGCCGCTCCAGTATTATAGCTCCATGATTCTTACCCTCGTGTCTTCAGTATTATAGCTTCATGATNAAAAAAAAAAATTATTATATATCTGGAATATCTTTAGTAAATTTTCTTAGAAATGGAAAATGTGTGTTTACG